TCTCTCTCTCTCTCTCTCTCTCTCTCTCTCTCTCTCTCTCTCAAACTAGATAAAATACCAACATCTGACAGAGATTTCTGTAAAGACCAGATTTCCGAATGGCCGCATATGTGAAACCCATTCTTCCTCTACTTGTTGGGTCTCGGGGGCTCCTAAAGCTCTCTGGAGGCAGGCTTTGGTTTTGTGTCCGTAGGAGAGCTGGAGAACGCCCAGAGCACCCTGCAGCGCTGCCTGGAGCTGGATCCCACCTTCGTGGATGCCCACCTCCTCATGTCCCAGATCTACCTGGCTCAAGGCAACTTTGCCATGTGTTCCCATTGTTTAGAGTTGGGTGTCAGCCACAACTTCCAGGTGGGAGCTCTCTACACTCTGTGGCCGATTGAACAACCCCTTTCGGGACCATTGCTGGGGCGGGGGAGCACATAAAGACGTGGGATCCCCCCCCAGACCCTTTGCTAACCCCCAGGCAGGGCAAGCTCCTTGGTTCTCCCGGAGAAGCTCCCCAGGCTTCTGTGTGAGCAGCAGAGGTAAGCTAGCCCCAGTTCTGCTCTGCCTCTCCTAGGTTCGAGACTACCCCCTCTACCACTTCATCAAAGCCAGGGCCCTCAACAAGACTGGTGACTATGCCGAAGCCATAAAGACCTTGAAGATGATCGTAAAACTGCCCACCACAAAGGTGGAAGAGAGCAGGAAGCTCCGAGGCCCCTCCGTACGTCCCAGCGAGCGGGCATCCATCCTGCTGGAGCTGGTAGAGGCCCTCCGACTGAATGGGGAGCTGGTGAGAAACGCCCTGCATGGGGCTGGGGATTAGGCCCTGAAAGCATCGGGACCAGAGTCCAGATTGCCAGAACCCACAGTACGTCCGAGAGTTCTAGGTTCAGTCAGTGAGAGAGACAGACCTCGATGATAAAATGAACACATACCTGATATCAACTTCTTCCCCGCATGCTCACGCCTCCACCCCCCAATATGAACATGCATACACACATACATGCACACCAAACACACAGACATGCAACAAAGAAAGAAATGCTTTGTTCCCATTCCCTGGGCTGGGGCACATTTGGAGGCCCCAGGAGACCAGCCTGGGGTCAAGCTCTGATTTTGTCTGAGGTTCACTTCACTTGGGCTATGATCTGAGTCCTTTTTGTTTGTTAATTTGGTTTGGTTGAGACAGGGTTCTCTTATGTAGCTCTGGCTGTCCTGGAACTCACTATATATACCAGGCTGACCTCAAACCCACAGACATCCCCCTGCCTCCGCAAGAGGCAAGAGTGAGGCTTGGAGGAGCTGAAATCTGTATGATACCCTGGCCTCAGCAGCCTTGCCAGCTCATAGGATGTGGTCTGCCCTGGACCATCTCTGTGACCAAGGCCCATACCCTTCCCTTGTGATGCACCTGACTGAGTCAGGAAAACTAGCCTGAAAGGGTTTTTTCCCCTTTCAAAATAAAGGACTGTGAAGATGGTTCAGTTGGTAAAGTGCTGGCCGTGGAAGTGTGAGGACCTGGGTTGGATCCTGGAGGAAAGGGAAGGTGTTGACTGATGTTTCTGTCCCGCCAGGCCCCACAGCCATTCAGTCCCAAATAAACACACAGCAGTCTACATTAATCATAAACTGGTTGGCCTAGTAGCTCAGGCTTCCTATTAATTAATTCTTACATCTTGCATTAACCCATTATTCTTGTCTGTTAGCCACGTAGCTCGGTACCTTTCTCAGCGAGGCAGTCACATTTTGCATCCTCTGTGTCTGGGTGGCGACTGCAGACTATGTCTTTCCTCTTCCCAGAATTCTTCTGTTCTCATTGCCCCACCTCTACTTCCTGCCTTGTGGCCTCATCTATACTTACTGCCTGGCTACTGGCCAATCAGCATTTTATTAAACAAATACAAGAACCAGATCTTTGGGGGCTGGAGAGATGACTTGGAGGTTAAGCATTGGCTGCTCGTCCAGAGGTCTTGAGTTCAATTCCCAGCAACTGCATGGTGGCTCACAACCATCTGTAATGAGATCTGATGCCCTCTTCTGGCCTGCAGGTACACATGCAGGCAGAACACTGTGTATATAATAAATAAATAAATGTTTTTTAAAAAAAGAAACAAATCTTTACAGGGTAAATCATTGTCCCACAGCAGAGAGGCAGCATGGTGGCATATGCCTTTAATCCCAGCTGTGGTGGTTTGAAAGAAAATGGACCCAAAAGGGGGTGACACTAATGGGAGGTGTTGAGTAGGTGTGGTCTCCTTAGAGGGAGTACATCACTGTGGAAGAGGACTCTGAGGTCTCGTATACGCTCAAGTCACACCCAGTGACAGTTCACTTCCTGTTGAGATTGACCCCGGCATGTGTTCACATGTGCAGGTATACCTCTCATGCTCTAGCATGCAGTTGTAACACACACACACACACACACACAGATGACTCTCTGGGTAAATGTGTGAACATGGAAGCAGAAACTGCCCAAAGGAACACAAGACAGGTAGAGACAGATGCTCCGCCTTTGCAGAACCAGGAACTTCCCATCCAACGTCAGCTGACAGCTCAGCTGTTCCTAAAGCTAAGGGTTGGTCTGTCCGGCATCAGGAAGGGAACTGGGTGAAGGACAACAAACCCAGATGTTCCCACTGGGGACGGAGAGTAGGGAAGTGGGGCTGGGGACAGAGTGGGCCTGGGATGGAGTGAGACAGTTCCCCCCGTGCCCTGCTCCCCTGCTCCCTAGGGTGGCCAGCTCCAAGAGGCACAATCATGACAGCAGCATCTCTGTGTTCTAATGACCAGCCATTGCCTCCACAGCCGCTCTGCAGGTGGCCGAGTACCTTCTTGGCACAGGCACACCCCTGGGCTGGGACGGGAAAGGTGGTATAAATGTCCTCAGGTCACCTGTAATAGATCTTACCAAAGAGAGGGTCTGTTTGGTCCTTCGCCTTGTAGCATGAGGCCACCAAGATCATGCAGGATGCCATCAATGAGTTCAGCGGCACGGCCGAGGAGATGCGCATCACAGTCGCCAATGTGGACCTGGCTCTGAGCAAAGGCAACGTGGACTCGGCCCTGAGTATGCTGAGAGGCATCACGCCCAAGCAGCCCTGCTACACTGAAGCCAAGGAGAAGATGGCCAGCATCTACCTGCACAATCGGAAGGACGTGCGCCTCTACATCGGCTGCTACATGTAAGCTCCACCGACACGGCAGGAGTCCGACACCCTTTCCCCCGGAGGCTGGGGAGGGTTCCCTTGTGTTATATGCCTTCAACTTGGTCTCCAGAGTGTATCCCCAGAGTGCATTGGACCACGTTAGACCTCGTAGGTCTCCCTGGCCAAGGGTGAGTTCCGAGGACCCTCAGCTCTTCCCCTGCACTGTGCGTTTTATGGTGGGAGCATATAGGTCCGGATCCCAGCCCTAGTGCCAACAGAACCATGAGAACAACCACACCCTGGCCCTGCTCTCTGCTTTTCCTTGGTGGCGGGCCTCAGAGGTGATCAGTGCAGGGTGGGCGAGAAAAGAGTAGAAGTCGGAAGCACAGTCCCTGACTCCTAGAATTTGGAATTGGAACCTCAAGAGGTCCTTCTCAGTCCTTTTCTCTTGGCAAAACTAGGCAGTCTGGGGCTCTGAGAGCTGGGAGGGTAGGAACTGACCAGCAGGGAACTGCTTTCAGCGGAGCAGTGTGGGGCTGGGGTGGGGCTCAGTGGCTGTGTGCTTGCTAGGCATGTCCCACAACCTGGGTCCCAGTGTCTCAGGAAAGGAGGTGTAACGGGGGTGTAGCCGGTTACGGAGTGCTTTGCTTAGCATCCCATTAGCTCCGTGTTCAGTCTGCAGTGTACAACCCACAGCTGTAATCCCAGTTCTTGGGAGGTAGAAACTAGAGAACCAGGAGTTCATAATCCGCCTGAGGCATGGACCCTGGCTCAAAAACAACCAAGTCCAAAAACAGTATGGCCACTCATGGAGAAGCTCAGAGGGCTGGGGTGGCCCTCGGCCATGACCTGGACGGACAGCAGGTGCGAGCCTGGCTATCAGTGCTCCCTAGGATCTCCGGGACTGCAGATGATGAATGGATGGACACTGGCCAGGCCCAGGCCTGAGAAAGGCAGTTGGTTTCTCCTGTAGGGAGCTCTGTGAACACCTGCCCGGCCCCCACAGCAGCCTTCTACTGGGTGACGCGTTCATGAACATTCAGGAGGTAAGGAGAGAGTCTCCGGGTTTTGCTAACTAGCTCCCAGGATCACTTCTCCGGCGAGAGAAGAGAAAGACACCCCTTCCATACTTTCCCCACCAGCCTGAGAAGGCCCTGGAGGTGTACGATGAGGCCTATAGAAAGAACCCTCACGATGCCTCCTTGGTCAGCAGAATCGGACAAGCCTACATGAAGACCCACCAGTACGCCAAGGTGAGGCTCCCCCTAGGGAAGGCCAGCCATGCAGGGGAAAAGCTTAGAAAGCCCAGGAGTTGGGGGTCTAGATGGGAAGGGACAGCGTTTCTCTCCAGCTTCCTGCTGAGAGCATGACGGGGGTGAGCGCACCAGTCTGCACTCTCTGCCCTCCCTGCTTCACCTGAGGCCTGAGCCCAGCTGGGAGGTGGGACTGGGGCGTTCATCTTAGGCTTCCGTGTGCCGAGGGGCGATCTGATGCAGTGGCTGCTGAAGGGACATGATGTCAGCATCCCCATGCAGAGCCAAACTGAGGCCAGTATTTCCCGTTTGCACGAAGGCCATTAATTACTACGAGGCCGCCCAGAAGATCAGTGGGCAGGACTTCCTGTGCTGCGAGCTGGCCGAGCTGCTCCTGAAGCTGAAGAAGTACCACAAGGCAGAGAAGGTGCTGAAGCAGGCCCTGGAACGAGACTCTGGTGGTGAGGCGGCATTCGAACTCGCTCCGACCCCTGTCCACCTTGGCCCTCCTACATTAGCTAGGGATCTGAACCCAGCCCTTCCCAACAACTCAGGGGCCAGACTACACTGACTCACACCTCTCTCTAGGGACCAAAGACATTTCATCCCTGATGAGTGAGGTCAAGTGCTTGCTTTTGCTGGCAAAGGTTTACAAGAACCATAAAAAAGAGGATGTGGTTGGAACACTGAACCAGGTAACTGACCCAAAGTCTTTGTAGTTCCTGATGTCGGGGAGGAAGGAGGCTCAGCCCACGGGTCTGCCAGGGTGCAGACCTTCCTCAAAAGAGGCCCATCACCCCCCCCTACTCACGTCTAAGAACACTGGGTTGGGCTGAGAAGGGCCAGGAGATAGTGACTTTATCCTTAAGAAGAGTGAGGTGACCGTCAGCGTGAGAGTGGCAGCAACTCCATGCATGGAAAGCTCTGTGCTGGCTGTTTGTCCCCTCTCCTTCCCTCCCTCTGTCCCTTCCTCCTGCCCTCCCTAGCTCAGTACCTACCTTCCTTCTTTTTGAGACAGGGCCTTACTATGTTTACCCAGCTAGCCTAGAGCTCACTATGTAGCCCAGGCTGGCCTTACGGTAGTCCTCCTACCTCAGCGGGCTGAGTGCTGGTGTCCAGGGAAGCATCTCTATGTCCGGCTTCTCTGCTCTCTTTTTTAAGTTTTCACAGTGGTGCTTTGGGCTAAACACTGTGACATTCCTATATGACTGAGAAAACCTTTCAAGGCAGGAAGACTAAAACCCAGAGCTAAGTCCAGATGTTTATGACTTGAGGTGATTTGCCTGAGAGTTCTTGAAATTGTCAGAACTGTAGGTCGAGCTCTGAATTTTTACTTTTCCTGGGCTAGAGATATATGTCGCTATACTGCCTTGGAGATGCCTTGGAGCTTCCGAGGGGCCGCTCACTGCCAGGCTCGCCCAGAGCTCTACAATGTTCTTCTTGCTAAGATTTGATACTCGAGATGTTTGGTACAGTCAATGCAATTTTTTTTCAAGACAGGTTTTGTCTGTGTAGTCCTGGTTGCCCCGAAACTCACTTTGTAGACCAGGCTGGCCTCAAATTCAGAGATCCACTTGCCTCCCAAGTGCTGGGATTAAAGACTTGCGTCACCACTGCCCAACTCTAATCAATGCTGTTTTGTAAGATTTAATTTTATCAATATAATTGTTTACCTACACATATGTATGTGCACTGCATGCATGCTTTGTGCCTGTGGAGACCAGAACAGGGCATTCGATCCTTTGGCACTGGAGTTATAGGTGGTTGTGAGCTGCCCGATTTGGGTGCTGGGAACCAAACATGGGTCCTCTACATGAGCAGTGTGTGCTCTTCCGTGCTGAGTCATCTCTCCAGCCCAAGAATTTTGAATTTTTTTTTTTAAACGGCATCTCACTCTATAGCCCTGGCTGACCCAGTACTTACTCTGTAGATTGATGTGGGGCATGACCCCTATGGGGGTCAAATGACTTTCACAGGGGTCACCTATCAGAAAGCACAGATACTTACATTACAATTCATAACAGTAGCAAAATTATAGTTATGAAGTAGCAACAAAAATAACTTTATTGTTGGAGGTCACCACAACACAAGGGGCCGCAGCATTATGAAGGTTGAGGATGACTGATAAGCTGGTCTTGAACTCAAAGATCCTCCTGTCTCTTTCTCCCAAGTGTAGAGATATCACACCTGGACCAATGCATCTTTTACTTGCATCTATTCACCTTACAATGGATTTATCATAAGTCAAGGAGATGGAGCTAAGATTGAAGTCTGACCTGTCCAACACATCCTCTTCCCATACTGGGCTGCTCTGACCCACACGTCCTCGGCCATTCCTGTCGGGCCTTCCTCACTCTCCACCCGCAAGTGCAGGCTCCCACTTGTTCCCAGGGCAGAGCCCCCTGTCTCTGACCACTGGAGGTACAGGGTTTCTCTGTGTGACAGTCCTGACTGTCCTGGACTCACCTGTAGACCAGGTTGGCCTTGAACTCACAGAGACCCCGCTAGCCTTGGCCTCCCAAGTGCTGGGATTAAAGTGTGCCTGATAAGGTGCCTTATCTTGTTTGCCACCCAGTCCACTTATCTCTGTCCTTAAGGAGCCAGCTCTAGTTCTCACGCACTTCTAGCAACTTAGCTGTCTTTCCTGCTCCTCCCCTCATCCATTCACATCTTAGGTGCTGAGAACTGCCTCATTTTCCAGAAGGGAGATAAATGCAGAGCAAATGTGTCTGCCAAAGGAGAGCCCTGGGACATAGTTGAGTTGGTAGCGTGCACAAATGCCTTGGTTCTCCCTTCAGTACAACACAAACCAGGCATGGTAGCACAGGATCAGAGGTTCAAAGTCATCCTTGAGTATATAATGAGTTCCAGGCCAGCCTGGAGTATGGAAGACCCTATCTCAAACAACAATGAAAACCCAGCCCGGGCTCCCTGGAGGCAGAAGACAATCTCTGTAAATTTCAGGCCAGCCTACTCTATAAGCAAGTTCCATATCAGCCAGGACTACATAGTGAAACCCTGTCTCAAACAACAACAAAAACCCAGTCTGTGCTTGGTTGGCACATGCCTTTAATCCCAGCTCTCTAGAGGCAGATACAGGACGGTCTCTGAGTTTGAGGCCAGCCTGATCTACTTAACAGGTTCCATATGAGCTAGGGCTACATAGTGAGAACCTCATCTCAAAAACAAAGCAGTAAACATCACTAGTGACAAATGCCCAGGCTGCTCTGGGCACCTACTGTGTGTTGCTCTAGCCTGCGAGACAGCTCAAAGCAAATCCCGCACACAGCCTCAAGTGTGATGGAGGCAGGGCAGGCAAGTGAAGACAAGTTTGCCCTCTGCTTCTGTTCCTCCTGGGCAGGGGGTGGGGGAGATGGGATGGGGTGGGTGGGCGAGCAGTGCAGGCCTCCCTTCTGCGTGCTGACGGAGTGGCCCAGATTTCCTCAAGGTGCTCTTTCTGACATTGCCCCCTATGGAGCACACTGAGAAGTCCTGTGGCCTGGCACCTGAGCTGGGGGTCTCTGACCCTAGCCTCACTGGTTCCCCCAGGCCTTGGACCTCCAGTCCCGGATACTGAAGAGGGTTCCCCTGGAGCAACCGGAAATGCTCCCCTTCCAGAAGCAGCTGGCAGCCTCCATCTGCATCCAGACCGGGGAGCATTACGTGACAGAGAAAGACTACGACAAAGCCGTGAAATCCTACAAAGACGCCCTCTCCTACTCGCCAACGGACAACAAGGTGCGTGGCCCTTGAAATAACACCGTGGGGGCCAGGGAGGTGACCGGGTGGCACAGCTCTTGCCTAGCGCCCACAGAGTCCTGGCTTCAGTCACCAGTCACTACCAACCAAGTAGGGTCGTACCCAACTGTAACCTCAGCCCTTGGAAGGTGGAGGCAGGACCAGGAGTTTGGGGTGGGTGTCCTTGCCGAGAGAAGCCTTCTCCGAGGCGCTGTGGGTGTAGAGCAGGAAGGAAGGCAGGAAAGCCAGCCCACTGGAGCTTCTTGGTCAAGAAGCAGCTCTGGCTGACCCCGGACCCTCACCTGCTACCATTCTTAAAGCATGGCTAGGAAGGCCAGCTTTGGGCCATTTATGAAGGCTAGAATAGGAAAGACAGCTCTGGAAGTCTTGTTGGCCTGGCCTTTGTCAGTTCCCGCTGGTGTGGGTGCCACTGGTGGGGGTGCGGGGTGACTCGTGTTTGCCAGGCTGCGTGGGAATCTGGCCCAGACTGAGTTTCCAAGCCAGCTGAGAGTCGTGGCAGGGGTGTGGTGCCAGATGAGGAAACAGTTCACACTAAGTTCACACTAAAGAGCCTGGATGTTGGAAGAGTGACCTTGGTTTAGTGTACCCCGCCCATGCAGGTCCCCCCTCCCCGTACTGCATAAAACTTGTCATCTCAGCACCCGGCAGGAGGCAGGAGGTCATCCTTGAGTGCGTAATGAGTTGGAGGCTAGCCTGGGATACATGACCCATGAAATACACGTCTCAAAAACATAGTTAAATATATTGCATGAAAAAATAGTAATAAAAAAATTAACTTGGTAACTGTTCACCCTTTGACAGGCCTTCCATACAAGACAGTGAGGTGGGGCAGGCAAGATCCTTGCCTGAGACTGGCCTCAGGCAAGAGGAAAAGAGTAGCAAGTAGGATTCTAGCGAGTTGTCATCTGTCCCGGAATCCAGGACACAGAGGAGTCCCCAGAGGAAGCAGCAGAGGCCAAAAGATGAGATTAGTGGCTTAGCCAGGCCCCAGCTCATTCCGTTGGTAAAACCAACAGAACGGCAGGGGAACTGGGTGAGAGGGAGGCCTGCTTTCAAAGCCGATAGACTCGGAGGCGGCGGCGGCGGGCACGGAGGGAGCCAAAGGTGACTGCAGAGAACGCGGAGCTGACTTGTTTTCTTCTCTCTGGTCTCTGAACAGGTGGCGCTGGAGCTGGCACAACTCTACCTGCTTCAGGGGCAGCTGGACTTGTGTGAACAGCGCTGTGGCCCCCTCTTACAGATGGAGCAGACGCACGAGAGAGCTGCCGTGGTAGGAGCTGCCTGTCATGCTGCGCACCGCCCCGGGGTCCCTGTGACAGATTCCTAATTATTTAACCTCAGACAATTCACCGGCCCACCCTAAGAGCTTTGGGGCCCTGTCCCAGCCTCTGTCCTTCTTGGGGGAGGGGGAGGCATGGAAAGACCAGCAGGGGGCAGCAGCATCCTCGAGGCTAAGCTGGGGGCGGGGCGCGGTTGGTCCAACTTCAGGGGAAACCACACCCCCTGTTAGGTGAAGGTGAAGGTCGGGTGACTGTAAATCACCCTCCCTGGTCAGCCTTCTCCTAGGCCACCCCAGACCTCCACCTTGCAGGGTCAGAAAGTCACCTGCAGTCCTCCGGGAGCTCACAGGCTCTCGGGACCAGAGAGGCTACCTGGGGAGTCTTCTACTCTCCCTCCCTGTCAGCCCCCAGGAAGCCGCCCTCGTGTGTCTTCTGATAGATGCTGGCTGATCTGATGTTCAGAAAACAAAACTACGAAGCGGCCATCAGTCTCTACCGCCAAGTGCTGGAGAAAGCGCCAGGTACCCGGGGCCAGAAGACCACTTCCCCACCCAGCCAGGATGGCTATCCCAGAGAAGGGTGGGCCTTCTCCCCTCCTTCCTGGCTGGGCAGAGGAAGCCCCTTCCTTCCCAATTGTTCCCAGAGAAGCAGGAAACTGATAAAGACCCAGAACGTGGCAGCCCTTCCTGAGTCCAAGGGGGCCAGTTCCTGGACCGAGGCGCTTGGCACTGGAACCAGGACAGCCTGTCTGTCCCCATATCGCAGCTATTGGGGCTCAACACAGGCCCCTCTATGGTCACACCCACCTGGAAGCCGGTAGGCGGTCTCTCTAGGTTGGTTAGCCACACCCCTAGTTGCTACTGAATGAAATAGCAGCTTCAAGGGTCAAACCTGAAACCCAAGCCAGAGGTTCAACAAGCCCACAGCGGTCCCCACAGGCCAAGCAATTGTGCTTAGGAGCCTTGTAACCTTTGAAAAACTACTCACTCCTCCTTGCTCAGAGTCCCCATCTGTCAAAACAGGGACAGAAAGAGAGCTCAACCCTGTAGTTAAATCACAGGTAAGACATCACAGAGCCAGGTAGAGAGAGGGTAAGTGCTGTGTGTGTGTGTGTGTGTGTGTGTGTGTGTGAGAGAGAGAGAGAGAGAGAGAGAGAGAGAGAGAGAGAGAGAGCCCTAGAGGTCAGGGGACAGCATGGGTGCCCTGCTCTAGCACCTTCATCTTGTTCCCTTGAGACAAGATCTCTCGTTGAACTTGAACTTAGCTAATAACCAGCAAGCCCCAGAAATCCTCCAAAGTCTGCCACACGTTGCTTTTCCGATGGATGCTAGAGATTCAAACTCAAGTCCTCGTGTTTGCTCGGCAAGTGCCTTACTGACCAAAGCATGTCCCCAGCCCCTGCTGTCGATATTCTAAGCACTGTATAATTTACTCACTCTTGTGTATGCAATGTCTCTGCTCAGTCTGAATAAGTAGTGTCTCCTGAGACCTCCTCAAGGTCCAGCACTCCCTCCTCCTGCCTCAGAGCTCAGAACACCAGCCTGGTGCAATGCTATCCCACTGCATGCTGCAGATTTCTGCTCTCTCTCTCTCTCTCTCTCTTTCTCTCTCTCTCTCTCTCTCTCTCTTTCACCCTCTCTCAGACAATTTTTTGGTATTGAATAAATTGATCGATCTGCTACGACGGAGTGGCAAGCTTGAAGAGGCTCCTGCTTTCTTTGAACTGGCCAAGAAGGTGTCTAGCCGGGTGCCTTTGGAGCCAGGGTTTAACTACTGCCAAGGCCTTTACTGCTGGTGAGTTAGCCTGGAGCATACCGAGGGTCCATGGTGGGATAAGAGGCCTTGCTAGTAGATAGCTAGGGTCTTGCTCAGCAGAGGGGAAACAGAGAGCAGCCTCTGGGAAACGGGAAATGCTCAGACCAGATATCCAGCAGTGCAGCTCTAACCGAGTGCTCCCCATGTGTCTCCACGTGCCTTACACAGCTCCTCTTACTGACTCCTGGCGCTTCCTGCACTCTTTGTAGGCACATTGGACAACCCAATGAAGCCTTGAAGTTTCTGAACAAAGCCCGAAAGGACAGCACCTGGGGCCAGATTGCCACCTGCTACATGGTCCAGATCTGTCTGAACCCTGATAATGAGATTGTCGGTGGGGAGACCTTCGAGAGCCTTATGGCTGACAGCAAGTAAGAGGGCTGGGGTAAGCGCGTTGGGGGGGGGGGAGTGAGCACGGGAAGGGGCCTCAGCTTCTAGGCCCAGGCCAGGTAAGGGCCACACAAGCAGGCTGTCAGCCCGAGCCCCATGCCCACAGTTCCACCAGTCGGAAAGAGTCCCAGCAACACGGGGTGCGCACGGCAGAGAAGCTCCTGCGGGAATTTTACCCCCACTCGGACTCCAGGCAGACCCATCTGCGGCTGCTGCAGAGCCTCTGCCTGCTGGCCACCAGGGAGAAGGCGAATGTAGAGGCGGCTCTCGGGGCCTTTATCGAGATGGCCCAGGCTGAGGTGCGAGAGCCAGGGATGGGTTCTGGTGGGCAGGGGTCAAGATGGGGGTGATAGCCAAAGTGCCCCGGTGTCCCACTCATGCTTCCACGCGTGTGCAGAAGGACAGTATCCCTGTATTGCTGGCCATGGCACAGGCCTACATGCTGCTGAAGCAAGTCCCCAAGGCCCGCACGCAGCTGAAGCGCCTCGCCAAGGTCCCGTGGACGCTGGATGAGGCCGAAGACCTGGAAAGGAGCTGGCTTCTGCTAGCTGACATCTACTGCCAAGGCGGCAAGTTCGACCTGGCCTTGGAGCTGCTTCGCCGCTGCCTCCAGTACAACAAGGCAAGGGCCACTGGGAAGGGAGAATAAGGGAGGCGTGGACGTGGTGGGAAGAGGTGGAATCAGAGGGGCTCGTCGGTGACGAACCTGGAACCAGGAGCCACAGGTCAAGGAAGAAGACAAGCTTCGCGGGGTCGGGCACAGCCTCGGAGAGGAGCAAGAGAGGTCGGTGGGCTTGAGGGATGTGCAAGGATTAGCTTCTGACAGATGAGATGCTAGTAGAGGGGCTTTCTATGAAGGGGTCGTGCCAGATTTTGAGTAAGGAGTGGCTACACAGTTAATCCCTTAAAATGTTGAGGGTGCTCTTGGGTATCCCTGGGTACTTTGGGTTAATGCTGCTCACTGCCACTCCCCGCCCCCCGTTGCCCCTCCTGGTCCCACTCTGAGGACCATGGTGGCTGCTTTGGGGCAGACATGCTCACTGGCTTTCCCTGCAGTCTTGCTGCAAGGCCTATGAGTACATGGGTTTCATCATGGAAAAAGAGCAGTCCTACAAGGATGCGGCCACCAACTATGAGCTGGCCTGGAAGTACAGTCACCAAGCCAGCCCTGCCATTGGTAAGACAACAGGCCAAGGTGCCCAGGGGCTGGTGCCCAAGTCCCACATCCTGGCGGTTGACAGAGCCAGAGGACTCCCCAGTTACCAAGGCATCCTCCCTACCTCCGGACAGGTTTCAAACTGGCTTTCAACTATCTGAAAGACAAGAAATTTGTGGATGCCATCGAAGTCTGTCACAGTGTAAGTCATCGGCACAAGTGGGACGGTGCAGGGCCCCCTGCCTGGTTTCACACGTCGGATCTATCTCTGTACCAGGTCCTGACGGAGTACCCCAATTATCCCAAGATCAGAGAGGAAATTTTGGAGAAAGCCCAAGGGTCCTTGAGGCCCTAGCTGTGCCTGGAGAGGGCTTGAGCCAGCAGAGGTCGCCAGTCTGTACACACTGCACGGGGAGAGCAGGAAGAATTGGGAAAATGACGTGTTCTCGCCATTTCTGTATTGTCTGTGGTTTATTTGGACTCATGCCTCATCTGGCCTGAAGGTGTCTAGAAGCTTTATGTCTTTAAGGCCCAAGAAGCAATTTTCCCTGGGGAAGGAAGACAGCTGGTTTAGTATGGAGCCCACTTCTGTTCCAGACTCCTGAAGAAGCAGAACAAAGAAATCTCCCAGTAGAGCGATGGCTGGGAAAATACACCCTATACCTATTCCAGAGTGTTCCCTGCCCCAATCTTGTCCCCGGTATCTGGGACTACCCCTCCCTACCATGATGTCCACTGAGCCTGCCCTGGCAGTGGGCTCAGACCGTAGGACCACCTGCGGAAGGGTCGGTTTTCAAACCCCATTGTCTTCACTGTATTCACCCACCTTCCCCAAGCTGGACCTCACCTGGTTGGGACAAGTCACATGACCACCGAATCACATCCTGCCCTTGCAATCACCACACTTTGGATTTTGTGGAAGGTATTAGCCAGCCAGCTCTCCTTCTAGGAACCCATTTAATGCCCTAGCGGGCAGGCATAGTGCAGCGGCCCCTATTCAGATGCTAATGATCATTTTACCGCTAAGAGAACTCACCTTTGCTGGGTTCCCAATACACCTCTACCTGTTTCTCAGGATGGAATTATGGGTCAGTCCAGCCTTCGGGGGGCAGGCGGGAGGGACTCTGAACTGAGTATCTGGAGGCCCCTCCCACGTGCTTCTCTCTGAGATCAGGGCAGGGGATGTGATTTAGCTGGTGGAGCTCTTGTCCAATGTGCATGACATCCTGAGTTTGACACACACACACACCCACAGCACACATAAGTCACACCTGGAACCCCAGCACTTTGGAAGGTCGAGCTCATCCTAACTGAGGTGATCTTGGGCTATGTAAGACCCTGTCTCAAAAAGAAAAAGAATCCATCTCCCGAATCTTGCATCATCCTTTGCGAGTAATATCTAGAAAATTATTTATTTTTGGTTATGGGTTGGAAGTGAGGGTGTCACGATCCCTAGGTACACACAGTACCCCTGAACTCACCTTCTACCCTTAAATTGAGGAATGATGCACTTACCCATGTCTACACAACACATTTAGGGATTCTTGGGCGCTGTTGGAAAGGATAGGTCTCAGCTGGTAGCATACACCTTTAATCCCAGCAGCACTTGGGAAGCAGACGAAAGGCAGCTACAATCCTGAAGCCAGCCCAGTCTACAAAGGGAGTTCCAGGCCAGCCCAGTCTGAGTAGGGAGATCCAGGCCAGCCAGGGCTCCTGAGGCTGGTGAGATAGCTCAGCAGGTAAAGGTTCCTGTCCCAACTCTGAAGACCTGACTTGAATCCCTAGGTCCCATGTGGTGGGAAAGAATCAATTTGCACAAGTTGTCCTCTGACCTCCACACAAGAATTGCGACATGCGTAAGCTCACGTTCATACACAAAATAAAAATAGAGTGGCTGAATTAATGAATAAAGCAGTTTCGAAATAGAGGCCTCACTGTGGGTAGAACGAAGATGTGTGGTGGCGATGGATGACCTACTATCCCAGCACGGGGGAAGTGGAGCTTAACATCACTGTCCACAGCAAAGCAGGTACAACCTGGGCTACATGAGACCTTGTCTCAAAGGGGGAGTGTGTGTGTGTGTGTGTCGATGTCGGGACAACTTCCTATAATCCCAAGACTTGGGAGGTATTGGCAGGAGGATCAGGAGTTCAAGGTCACCCTCAGCTACCTGACAAGAGTTTTAGATCTTCAGTTGCCTGGATGGTTGCTAAGTCTTGTTTGCCATCTTTCTTCTGGTGCTGGAGCTAGAACCCAGGGCCGTGGGGGTGCCCGGCTGGTACTCCGTTGTGCACTCCAGCCCCAGCCCCGTCCTTTCTGTAACACTGCTGACCATGTGCATGGATCTAGAATGCTACCCTCTTTCCAACGGGGACGATTGGTTCCTTTTTCCCTGCTGTTTGACAACAGTATTGTCGGGACAATACTGGCAGGTCTGTGTTTTGGGAGAGCGCTGCTGTAAAGAGATTGATGTTAATCATGTTTTATCTGTCTCCATTTAAACAAAACTCCCCAGAACTGACCCTGTGACCCTAGATGGGAATTAGAGGCCTGAGTCTGTGGAGGAGCCTGTCACCAGGCACCCTGGATTATTAGAGGACTCTCAGAAGAGACACAATGCTGCATGCTAGTGCCATCTCTGCACAAGGGTCTCCAGGCCCTGGTGATGGAAGGGGCAAGGAGGTAGGACAGAAGAATGTACCAGATTCTACTCTGAGAAGTTAAATAAGCTAAGCCAGTACATGTGGCCCCTCTATAGGCAGTGATTCAAGCCCTCAGGCCATGGTGGCACAAACCTTTAATCTCAGATCCCAGAGTGAGGCCAGCCTGGTCTATAGAGCGAGTTCCACAACAGGCTCCAAAGCTACAGAGAAACCCTGTCTCAGGGCTGGAGAGATGGCTCAGTGGTTAAAACATTGACTGCTCTTTCAGAGGACCAGGTTCAATTCCCAGCACCCCACGTGGCAGCTCACAACTGTCTAACTCAAGATCTCTGACACCCTAACACATACATACAGGCAAAACACCAGTGCAAATAAAAGTAAATTAAAAAGAAACCCTGTCTCAAAAAAGAAAAAGGAAAAAAAAAAAAAGATCAAAGTCAAACATGAAAACAGAATGGGTATCACAGGCTTATACATGCAACAGGCTTTCAAAGGTGCTGCCTGGGTATGAATCGAGCACTCTGAGAGTAGTCATTGCACAGGATTGAGGAAACCCAGGCTCTAGGCAAGTAATCTGCACATCCTGTCACCAGGGAGTGAGCTGGGTAGAACACAGCAGGGGGCTGGAGCAGAGGCAGGACGCCTGTGGTCATTCCTTGGAGGACCTGTGCAAGTCCCTTCAAGCTCCAGACTGGGGTTCTCCAGAGCAGGGCGCACCCTGGCCCGCACGGCTGGCCTAAGGCCTATTCTGACTGACTTGGGACAGGTCTGACAGGTCTGGCTGGTAGAGACACTTCCGGAGCAAGCACAAGTCCCCAGGGACTACAGCTGCCGAGCCCTGTCACCAGGCCAGGCCTCCCCTAGCCACATCTTACTGCCCTGCCCTTCCTGGACCCAGACGTGAGGGACAGTAGCTTCTGGGCCAGGGCCCAGACCAGTGTGTATGTATGCAAAGGAGGGTGCCCTCACCCAGCCTAAGTGACAATTTCCCCCACTGCGTCCCAGAAGGCACTGTTAGGAATGAGTTAATGCAGAGGGAAAACTTCCATTGGCCCAGCCAACCTCTCAGCTGGCTTTCTGCCTCCAGGCTGACTGGCCCGCCTGGAAGGAAGCCCAATGGCTGTCCCTGCGGCATCAGCACGGCCAGCCGCTGTCCATGCTACCCTGCAGTACCCCGCCCCCACTGCTTCCTGGGGGTGCACCATGCTCCCCACCCCACCACAGAGACCACACTTAAAAATAGAGCATCTTTATTGGTACCTGTCAGCTCAGGTACAATGTGTTCCCACAAACACACAGGCTGGCAAGGCCTCCTGGGCAAAGAGCAGGGCCTGAGCCTGTGTCTCTTGGCACACACACACATACAAAGAAATGAATAAATTATAGTTCTGACACTTAGAGACAATATAAAAATGCATACAAAATCCAACGTCAGCTAACGAAGGGCATAAAAGCCCTCAACAAGAGCCACCCCTGCCAACTGGCCGAGGGGCACATGGTGGGCGAAGGGTGGAGTTCAGTGCCCAGAAAGCCCTGAGACAGTGATGGGGCACTACAGGGTCCGCTTCATGCCCTGAGGCAGGCCTGTTGCCCCTCTTTGTGGCCTCTGGCTTCCCATCCTACAGGGATGGGCTCTATAACCCATGGCCTTGGGGGAAAAGGGAACCGGGCACAGGACAAGTAGTGGCCAGGCAGGGGCAAAAGAGGTTTTTGGTCAAGGCTGGTGTAGCGCACACCCTCAGCTCAGGAGCCAGGGAGCTGTCGTAGGTAACAGGCTCAAACCACCAAAGCCCAGGCAGGCAGCGCACACTGAAGGGGCTCTGCCCCAACACTGCCCACCTGCCAGAGAGACTCGACCACTGATGCCGCTCGCAGTCCCCAAATAAATTACAGGAATAAATTACATCTTCACAGTTCAGAAGATCTACTTCCCAGGGTTCAGAGGAATCCATAAGCCTCTGCTCTCGGCCCTGTTGCTGTCTTGGGACCAAGAAACAATCACAGTGCAGAAAGACAATTCCTGAGCCAGGAGAGCCCCGCCCCTCTTCCTCCTCCTGGCACACACTGGGAGGTGGAAGACCTCTGTTTGAATACAAAGAGACCAGGCTTTGAAAGAGGGACACCCCTCCCTGCCCTCTCTTTAATACAGAATAAAAAATTAAAAAAATAAATAACTTCAGAGTGTTAATGTAAAAATAAGAGGGTGCACTTAGCACCCATGGCCAGGACCAGCCCATGGGAGACCGTTACAAAGACCTTGGGGAACCCCAAAATCACACAAAAAGCAGCAACAGGGCTCTGGGGGCAGGGAAATGGCACCTTGGTCCTTACACTGGCACAGGCTCCATCAAAGGTGCCACAGCAGTGTCCTCAAACTGGCTCTCCAGAAGGGGCGCCAGGACATCGGTAACCGTCTCCGACAGGCCCACGAGTGACTCCAGGAAACAAGAGCTGGCATCCCTTGGCGGAGAGAAGCTGGGCAAGGAGTGGAGGGCCTCCAGGCCGTCCAGGCTGCCAGATACCCTGCGGGAAGTATAGTGAGGACCCAGACTATAGTCCGGCAGAGCCTGGAGCAGCTCAAAGGAGTCACAGGAGGATGAGCTGAGGTCCAAGGAGCCACTCTGCGCGGCCTCCACCCCAGGGGACCCGGAACCGCCAGGGAGACTGCCTTCCCTCAACCCTTCAAGTCCACTGTTCAGCAAGCAGCTGGCGTCCAGGTTGGCATTCTCATCCAGGATGCCCGATGCAAGGCTGGAGTAGGACTGACTGTGAGTCCAGCTGGCCAGGCCGCTGGGGTCACCGGCACCAAAGATGTCAGCCAGATGGAAACAGCTGAGGTTATCCAAGTTGTCCACACCCCTTTCCTCCTCCTCCTCTTCCTCCTCAATACCGAGGTCAGAGTCACTGAAATTCAGGATCTGCACCAGGCTGTCTTCATCCACGGCAGACCGGAAGCTGGGACCCGGCAGGCTGGGGCGGGCGAGGTGGTCCGGGGGCTCGCTGCCCCCGGAGGACGAGGATGCGGAAGAGTCGGTCATGTCACTGCTGCAGCTGCTATCCCCCAACTCACCGCTCACAGGGGGCTTGGCCAGCGGGAAGGAGGAAACCAGGGCTTGTTCAACGGGGCAGTCCTGGACGGGAGACTCCAGGTCCCCCAGGCTCTCGGCACCCTGCTCCATCTGCAGGCGGGTGAGCGTATGGATGAAGTGTGTCTGAACTCTTGCCTGATTGAATTCCACACGGCCATTGGGGTTCTCACAGCCCTCACTGCAGCAGCCACAGGGGAAGGAGGTGTGATCCATCTGCAGAGAAAGACAACGCGCAAGTCAGGACTCAGTGGGTGTTAAGAAGCCTGCCGGCTCAGCTCCCCAACCCACCAAATCCAGTAGGCTTTGCTTTTTGTTTAGTTTTTGAGACAGGGTTTCTCTGTGTAGCCCTGGCTGGCCTTGAACTCTGAGATCCACCTCCCTCTGCCTCCCTAGTGCTAGGGTTGAAGGCTTGTGCCACCGACACCTGGCTTAAAACAGGGTCTCACTGTGTAGCCTTGACTGGCCTAGAACTTAGTGTGTAGACCTGGCTGGCCTTGACCTTCTTACAGAGACCCGCCTGCCTCTGCCGGGATTATGCGACATCACATTTGGAGGATTTTTCTTTTCTTTTCTTTTCTTTCTTTTTTTTTTTTTTTGATAGTTTTGTTTAGATAGTGGGGGTAGGGATTTAACCAGAGACCTTGAGCATAGCAGGCAAACCCCCCCATTCTCCCCAATCCAGCCGCACACCTGGCATTTGATCCCGGCCAGGCTGCAGCTGCAGGTCTCGGGGTCACAGACTCCATCACAGCGGCAGCCACATTCCTCCCGCGACTGGCGCAGTGCCTGCAGCTCCCGCTTCTCTTCTCGGTCGATCCTTCGGACACCCGAAGCGCGAAGTAGGGCCCGTCGCTGCCGAGGTGGATGGGGCTGCAGGAAATTCACTTCCTCCAAGCGGCCACCCGCTATAGCCGCTGCCAGGTCGTCCTCCACAGAGGCGTCAGGGATGGCGTCGGCCGTGAGGGGCAGGCCTGCCCCTGTCTCTGGAACTCCAGCCACGGAAAGCTATGCACAAAGGAAGGATGCGAGAGATTTAACAGATCTGCCATCCATGTCGTCCGAGGTCAGACACAAAGCCCCTTCTCTAACCAGACACACATACTAGCAATGTCAGCTCTGTCTCCAACCCTAGAAAGTCTAGAACAACTCAAGCATTATGTTCCAGGCCTGATCCTTCTCTGAAACTGCCTACTTTTCTTTTGAGACAGGGCCTTGGCCTCAAACTTGCTAGATAGCTGAGGATGACCTTGAACTTCTTACTCACTCCTCACCTCCCGTGTGCCTGGTTTATGCAGTGCTGGTAACGAATGCCAGGACCTCCTATATATTCGGCAAACATTCCATTTGCCCAAGTTATAGCCGTAGTCCTTGAACCCTCTCTGTACACCTTCCCTGACACCGAGCGCAGGTCTGTTTCTACACACACACAATGTGCAGACTGACTCCATGGGTCTCCATACCTTCCACCTCAGCGTCTCCAGCTTCTCCTCCTTCAGGCGCTGTCGGAGTTTCTCACGCCGAGCACGGACCTGCTCCTGTGTAAACTCAGCCAAGGAGAACAGGCGGCAAGCGCTGTGGCGAGGAGCCATGCCCAGGGTGCAGCCACCACGGCTAGGCACACTGGTGAATCCCTGGCACCGTGGGAAATAGTAGACAGTGATGCCGTCGAAGGTCACGCGACCCAGATGCTCCCGCGGAGCCCGCTTCAGGATGGATGGGGCTAGAAGGGACAAGGAGATGAGCAGAGAGTGAGTTCTCGGCGCGGTGTCATTTCTAGGAAGATGCTTACCTACCCCTCCTTTCTCTCCACCCAGGGGCCTGGATGACCTGGAGAAACTGAAGGTGGCCCCCAAGTCAACATTGGCTTACTGTCGTTCATCCGTCCAAAAGACTGCACAGAAGGACTAAGCACCCTGACACCATTATCAACTATTTACAGATCCTCTGTGCAGTTTTCTGTAATTTTTCTGCATCTGCTAAGCGTTCTTTACATGTAATAAGGGCAATAATTCTGTTTGAATATATAGAGGCACCGGAGAAATGGCTTGACGGTTAAGAGCATGGGCACCCACACGGTTGCTCATAACCAACGTAACTCCAGTTCCAGGGGCTCCAACGCCCTCTTCTGGTCTCCTCAGGCATAGCATGCATATGGTGTTCACATGGTATTCACACATACAAATTTAAAAAAACACTTATTAATGTTTTCCTTGATAGTTTAAGTGTTCTGCAGAAGACTTAGTCTTTCTCTAAGTTATTGATTACATATTTAGTTGGCTCTCCCACCATGTGTGTTCCAGGGGTTGAACTCAGGTCATCAGGCTTGGTGGCTAGCAACTTTACCTGCTGAGCCACCTCACTGGTACTATTTAAAAAGAAGTACATGTGGGTGTATGCCCTGGTGCCCTTGTTAGAAGGCATCGATCCCTAGTGTGAGAGGTACAGGTGACTGCGAGCCGTCTGATGTGGGTGCTAAGGGCCCAACCCAGGTCCTCTGGAAAAGCGGCGGATGCTCTTAACTACTATGCCATCTTTCCAACCCTTGTTTGTTTTCTTGAGACAGGGTTTCACTAGGTAGCACTGACTGGCCTAGAACCTGATACATACACCAGGTTGGCCTTGGACTCAGAGATCCACGAGGCTTTGCCTCACAAGTGCTGGAATTAAAGGCACCTGCCATCCATCAGGTCTCACTTATAAACAAGTCTGCCCTGTGACTGGTTCTATACAGGAGACTTTGAATCCAGCCATGGCGGGGCACTTCTGTGATCCCTGTACTATGGAGGCAAGTTGGAGGACAACTTGGGTTATATGGGATCCTGTCCTCAAGACTGGGTGGGGTAGGGGGGGAAGGAAGAAAAAAACTAATCAGGAAAAACCCTTCAGAAAAAGCTAAAAAAGCAGTAAAACAAGAAGGAAGTGGCTCAGGAGGGCATATGCACGGGGGTAGGAGATGCAGGACCCACTCCATCTAGGTTCCTAGAGGGGCAGGTGTATGGGAAACTAGAAAGGCAACAGAAGACGGCCCCTTGGGAAGGTCTCAGAGCCCCAGGACTTCCAAGGTCAAAGTGAAGTCAAGGCAGGCCCAGGTGTCTCTGGATAGGAGGCACTAGGAGAGACACCCCAAGGCCGCTCCCAAGGCTGAAAAGGGCAATTTAACCTTTGGAGAAGGAGAGGGTATGTGTACGGGGAGGGGCTCCCAGGACAGAAGACTCACGAGTGAAACTTTGGAGGCCACAGGAGTCCTGATCGGGCCGGAGTGCCTGACCACATGGTCCCTCCTCATCTGAGTTCCAGGCAGGGAAGACAGAAGAACCAGGGGAGGAGGAGAAGAGACTGCCGGAGGAGGAAGAGGAGGCGGAGGAGCTGAAGAAGTCCTCCTCCAGCTGGTCAAACTTCCTCTTCAGTACCCCAGCCATGGTGGTACGGAGGGGCTCTAGGAACGGAGGACAGATGACCTGGAAAGAGAAGAGACATCTGAGCGGCAGGCTCCCAGCCTAACCATGCTTCCCCATCCTGGTTCACCTCATGGTGTACCCCAAACTCCATCTGGGCCCTCCAGCCCTGCCAGAAGCTTCAGGCTCATGGTAGGCTCACCAGGAGGGTCTTCAGAACCAGACAACATAGCACATCTCCATCAAATGACTCTAATCCCAGAGACTTTGATCTCCCAAGACCTGGCCCTGATAGCAAGCCTTCTCGGGAAAACAGCCAGGTACCTTCCCACTGCCTCCTACACACACACACACACACACACACACACACACACACACACACGCTGGCGTGCACACACCATCAGCAACCAGGTACCTTCCCACTGCCTCCTACACACACACACACACACACACACACACACACACCCCAACAGAGCCAGAAGGCAGACAGACTGACAGACGGACTGACAGAACTCAGCCTGCCCTGGCTCATCCTCACAGGAATCCTGGGGGCTGACTCACAGGCACTTGGGTCTGTGTGCCTTTGTGTGCAGGGCTTCTGCAGCGGCCATCTGCACAGCCTGCCTCTAAGGGCAGCGCTCCTCCACCGCACAGGTCCGCCACCTTGCTCACGGACAGTCAGGCTGACTAGGCACTCTGGGAGTAGCCACTGGGTTTGACATTGGCTCCACTCCAGGCAGAAGGACTTCCCCAAGCCCCGCCCCTCCCCTCCCTGGGATGGAGCTTCTTAGAGTTTCCCTCAGAAAGTCCCATGCCACATGAGAAAAAGTCCCCTGCTCTAGGCTGGACTGCAGGCAGGATACTTTGATCTCAAAATTCACCTATGTTTTGCCTTCTACTCTAACATGGTTAATTCTCCTTAAAACAAAAACTCTAATAGTGAGACTGATCCAGGAAGCTGCAATCCAAGCCTCCCTTACTTGTTGGTGGCTTCTCTGGACCTCTGGCAGGGTGCGGTCACTCACCAGTCAGGCTAGGGGGGTGAAAATGCCTTCCAGAACTCCCAGCGCTTGAACCAGTAACAGTCCCTCCCTCCAGGACTTGGGGAACCAGAGGATGTGGGCTGAGGAAAGCTACCTGCTGCGTGACTGACTGGCTAGAGTCCTGTGGAACTCACTCCTTCAGGGCTGAACGGCCACAGCTGGGACCCCTCCCCCAGCCCCATTACAGGAAGTGAAAGGGGCAGGAAAGCTGTATGGGTCTTCTCCACTGAGGTGTCTGTTATTCCTATGGTCGCTTGCCCTATCCCAAGCCTTCCTGCAAGCCCCTGATCTGAGGGCACCAGCTGTCAGCCCACTCAGTGGATAAAAGTACTCATGGAAGCGACAGCCTTCTCCTCTGGGCAGGCATGGGAGAACCAGGCCAAGCCCCCACCCTGGACCTGGGGGAGAGAGGATGACAGGTGTTTCCGGGGCAGCTTCTCAGCCTTGGCTACCCCCCTTCCCAGAGTCAAACCACAAACACAAACAGCTCGGTTGACCTGTAGGCTCTCCCAGGAGATGTTTGGGCATGAGCCAGGCACCCTGACTACAGACACACTCAAACACACAGTTGACGGGCAGCCCCTAAACATCCTGTCAGGACCACCACCACCGTCTAAAGCATGGGACACAACACACACACACCCCATCCTTTTCTCTAATTCCAGTTGCTGTCCATAAGACAAAAGGTCCATCTCTGAGACCCCAAGACCAAGGGCCCGTTTCCCCTGGAAATACATACTTCCCAGGCCCCCAACTGAACCCTGTCTGTTCCCCACCCCCCATGTCATCTGTTCCTCTTCCTGCGTTCCCTGTCTTAGTAACAGCACTGCCACCCACCCAGTTGCTCAAGCCAGAAACCTGCAGCCGCCCCTCCCCAGTCCTCCCTCCCCCCTCTTCTTGCACCCACACCCAGGCAGTGCTCAGTCCTGGAGTTCACACAGGCCAGGCAGATTCTGGAGGTATCCTAGTGGCCAACCAGTGCCAGAATTCGCTGGCTACATTTGAACCCTGAGACTTGGTTATTGACTGGGCGATCCTGGGCAAATTCCTTAACACCATTGTCTCCAATGGTCTTAGGTCCCCAGAGGCCAGGCAGGGTGGCGCACACCTGATATCCCAGCACTTGGGAGGTACAGGCAGGAGAATCAAGAGTTCAAGATCAGCCTCAGCTATGCGACACCGTGTCTCAATGCAAACAAAACAAATTAGAACCTCTAGGACTGGGAGGGTTACAGGAATCAATACCCGTCAAGTTCTCTCTCAGTGATTCGAGCTCACTGAGTGTGCAAAAAACAATCAGCTCTAGGACTCATGAGACTAAACACAGATGAGTGAAAGCAGCAGAAATACGGACCAAGATTATCAGAAGGTAGAACCAGTCGGTGGGGACTCCATTGACTCTGCCCTCTCCACAGTCAGGCTGGAGAAGTCAGCGGGAGGAGTATGTACTGGGGACAGTTGTGAAGGGGTCCTGGGGGAAGTATGGAAAGATTGATGTTCAAGGTAGTTTGTATGGGAATTAAATGTTTTAAAATTCCTCTAGCTGTATTTTTGATATTCCTATACTCTGCGTGCGTGTGTGTGTATTTCTATGCAGGTCACTATCAAAATTTGGGCTGATGGTATTAGCTCTGTGGTGAGGTACTTGTGCAAAGCTGAGCTGGCTTCTCAACACATGCGTGCAAAGTTTACCACCTGTTCCAAGTCTCTGCCCCCACCTGCTACCACCCAGTCCTCTCCTGAGCCACCCTAGACCCCACAACCAGGGTAGAATGAAGACACCACCATATAGGCCCCATGCTGAATAACACTCCGTGGTGCCTCACATGGCCCTGTCCCTGCCAACCTCCTTGGCTTCTGCACAGACTGGAACAGCCCAGCCTTACATCCTTCCAGAAGCCACAGCTTGAATCTATAAAGTCCCAGGTGAGGCAGGAGAATTGCCTGGAGTTTCAGGTCAAACTGATTTACAGAGTAAGACCCCCCCCCCCCAAAAAAAGGCATCTCCAAACAAACCTCAAAAGCTTCCCGCTTCCGAAAGAAAGTACGTTCTTTCAGAGGTACTGCTATGGACAGAACACTTTCCAACAAAAATACTCCTATACTGAAGATTAATCTCCAGTGTAATGACTTTGGAAGCAAGAGCTTTGGGAAACAGCATCTTGAGTGAGAAAGGATCTCGTGTAGCCCATGATGGTCTCAATTCCTCATCTCCCTCCCAAGTGCTGGGTTGACAGACCTCCGCTGCCATGGACCTGTGCCTCTGAGGGCCAGGGACTCGGCTCAGCTCTCTGGCCTGCATGAAACCCTAGGTTCAGTTCCTTAAAGAGACAGGAGTGCCTGAAGGGCGGTTAAAGAGCACTGGCTTCTCTTCCAGAAGTCCTGGGTTCAATTCCCAGCACTCACATGGTGGCTCACAACTGTCTGTAACTCCAGTTTCAGGGGACATGACACCCCTTCTCACTTTCAAAGGCATCATCAGGCACATACATGACACACAGACCTACATGCAGGCAGAACATTCACACACAAAAAGTAAATCATTTTTAAAGATGATGAGAGGACCCACCCCTCTATCATAAGGAAACAGCATGATAGTGCCCAACTACAAATCAGGAAGGGGGCCTACCCCAGGTTGGGGCTTTGATTTTGGCCCCAACCGCCAGAAACAGAAAAATGTCTCTTGTTTAAGCGGTTCAGACTGGCTGAAATGGCTCTCAGAGATCCTGGATTTTCCTCAGCGCTCGAGTCTCCTTATCTAACCACAGTGTAACGGCCTCCCTCATACCAGGCTAGGCTACCTCTGACCAGCCATAGTAAAACCGGCCCCAAACAAGTGGTCAGGACAGTCCTTTGCCCAAGGGTCTCGGTGTGACTTTTTCCTGCTCCTGAAAGCTAATTTAAGGAGGGAGACACATGCCCATCCCCCAGCCAGGGTCAGAGCTCAGTGTTCAAAAGTGGCTTTGAGGGCAGTGGAGGGAAGTTCACTCGGGCTGCAGGCAAGGGTGAGATGGCATCTCAGAGGCTCCCTTTCCCCAAGAGTAAACAGACAGATGTCAGGGAGGGAGGAGGTGCAGCCCGGGACAGGGCTCTACAGTCAAGTGTATCCAGATAAGAACTAAAGCCAAAGAGCATTCACATCAAAGCGGTGCACATCCCAGAAAGGTTAGGCTGTGCTCCAGGCAGGACCTCTGGCTGGGTCTGAGGAGAGGGAGGGCAGGAGGGAAGGGTGCCTGCCACCTGGGATCCAGAGGCTGAGAAGTCAGGGACAGGAAGAAGCCAAGTCAGTAAAGGGAATGAAAGATAGCTAAGGAGTCCAAGAAAAGTGCCAGACAGTGAGTCAAGGGTGGGGGAGGGGCCGCAGCAGCTACTCAGGAATCAAGATCCCGTTCCCAGGGTGAACAGAGTCCCGTCCTAGGGACCTGGAGGAAGGAAAAGCCATTCCCGGGAGCTGGCTCAGACAGAGACACCACACTCCCTGAGAGCACCACAGACAGGCCCCGGAATCAAAGAGAACCAGGCTCCTTCCGGGATGGCAACAGCCCGAGAATCTGGGGCCTCCCCCTTCCTGCCACCACACACAGGCACTGACAGCCCAGAGAACGGAATGTCACCCCAGGCTAGTGACCACAGCCATCTAGTACTCTGAGTCCAGGGAAGGCTATTCCACCCCGACAACCAAGGGGCAGCTGTGGGAAGCCTCAGCCCACGGATGTGTCCCAGCCCCCAGCCAGGGCTGGTACTCGGGAGGGGGCACCTCGAACTACCTCGATCCCCCTTCCAGGAATCTGAAGAATGTGTCCTTTGACCTCAGAACCCCAGGTCCTGATCAGTCATGCTCCCACCCCTGACACCTTGGGTCACAGGACCCCAGACCCTCCTGAAGGACTTCCTGGGCTGTGCAGAGATCACCTCGGAGCCGTCTTGGACCGCGCAGAAACAAAGTGCAGGGCGGCTCAAGAGACGGCAGACAGGAAGCACACTGACATGCCCCTCCCCCACCGGTGCCTCCGAAAGTGATCAGGGGGGGAGGGGACAGCTCTTTCGATTCAGCCTCGAGGGCCCTGCACTGGGTAAATGCCAAATGTTTGCTGGCTATATGAAATACTTGGTTCTTCTACCCAGGGAAAATTGTATCTGACAGTTAGTGCTTCCTCTGCCTTAAGCCGTTCTTCACACTCATTCATTCATTCATTCAATCAAATTCTTGTTAAGTTTCCAAAAGACGCCAAGCATTGTGGGCAGACACTTGGTGCATTAGGGAAGAAGACCTACAGCCAATATCTCTCAAGTTGGAGTTACAGGAGGTGGGCAGGAAGAATACAACTGGGAACCCTGTTGCAGGTCCCTCTGAAGGGACATTGGCAGAGTTCCAGAGAAGGGGCACAGCACGGTCCCAGGGACTGGAGCAAGGACAAGAAGCATGCCTTCTGGTGGAGGTGCAGTTAAGAGGGCCTGTGTTAGCCCGAGGGCACAGGAAGTCACCCAAGGGTGTTAAGCAGGGACGACAATTCTAGATTTGCCTGGCTAAAAGATGGCTCGGCACCTCTGCGGGAGAGGGTGTGACCCGTACGACACACAGGGCAGGGCCAGGTGAACTGACAGGACAAGGGCCGAGGAGAAAAGGGGGTGGATTCGGTGACAGCGGGAGGGATGGGGGCGGGGTTGTCAAAGATTTGGGGGCAGGAGTGCAGACTTAATCCCGGCAATGGGGCTGAGACTTCGGGCCGGAGGTGTTGGGTGGGCAGCCCGAGCGCAGGGACTGATGCTCTGCTGTCAGGAATGTGGGCTACGTCTGGAAGCGACTGGACCGGCAACCCGAGTGACTAAGTGTGTGGCTGTTGCTGTGGTGTGGGCATTTCTACAGTACGTGAAGGAGGCGAGAGGGCCCCCGGGGAGGGGAAACTGAGGAAGGGGAGGAAATGCTTGCAGAAGAGGGAATAGAAATGCGTGGGAGAGAGCCTACGAGTGCCCGCGGGTGGCCAGTGGAGCTGCGCCCCGTGACTCACGGCAGTGGCCTCTGCGTGTGACGGTGACAGGTGAACGTACGACATAATCCTCCGCCCCACTCCCTCCCTCCCTGCCTCCCGGGGTCCGTGACTCACCGAGCCTCACTCATTCCTCACTCATCCCTCCACGCCCTCCCTGACCCCCGCCTGCCGGGGGCGCCCGGCACACGCCGCAGCACCAGCACTCTCGCCCCCCCTAGGGAGCCCGAGGAGGAAGACGACCAATGTCACCTGCCCCGGCCACGCGAGTAACTTCTGAAAAGTTCTCAAGCAACTAGGTCAAAAGGAAACTCAGCCGCCGGGCACGCGCGCCCCGTCCCTCTGCCACCTGCACCCGGCTTTGGGGCGCCTGGGCATCTCGGGGTAACAGTAGCGGGGCGGGGGAGGGGAAGGGAAGCCTAGGGCTCCCCCCACCTCGCAGCCGTGGGCTCCCACCCGGGGTGGGCGATTTGCAGTCGGGCTAGGCGTCCGGATCCCGGCGACCCTTCGGGAGGATCCAAGATAAGCAAAAGGGGCTGGAGTGACAGCGCCACTCAGGCTGGACACCCCCTGTCCCAAATCCCTGCCGGTCGCGCTTCAGGGTCCCCGGCGCTTACCTGTACTGGCAACGCTCGCCAAGGACGCCGCGGCTACCCTCGTCCCCGTCCCAGGGTCGCAGCG